TTCCCACTCTGTACCTAAGGACAAGTGCCGGCAGGTGTGATACGTTCTGACTCTCAGTGAGTGTCTCCCCTGGTGGAGCCTGAATTTATTTTGCCCGCAGCTCACCAGCCTTGATGCTATCGAGCCCTTTTGTCCTATGCCTGGGAACTCACGAATCAATGGGGTGAGTCAGCGGAGTCTGCGGTTAAGGTAAAAGTTCACTCCAGACATGGGGTAGTCAGCAAGAAAACAGCACAGGGTGGATGAAGCTGCTGCGAGTGGAGCTCCAGTGTGGGTCCCTCCCCCTGCTCATCCGGTCCTTGCTGGGCCCACTCCAGCACTTTGATTTAATAACGTTCCAAGAAGCTGCTCCACGGGGATCTGCTCTTAACACAAAGTAATGCACAGGGCACGAAACCCGTTCCATGGCAAATGGCTCCTTGGTGCTCAGTGAAGGGGATGGCTTAGCTTACCCGCTCTGAGAGGTGCTGCCCTACCCCCTAGCATGAAGTGGTTTCCATCAGACAGTTTGGTTCAATGGCTCTCAGCACCCCCACTGTACAAATTACTCCAGCATCCCTGCCCGCTTTGAATTCCTCTGCGGCCTCTTCAAAGGGAAATGTTGCGATCGGTGCATGAGATACCGTTGGGGGCCCACCAAAGTGGTGATGCCACTTAGCAGTGACTGATAAGGCAGCCGAGTGGCCCGACTGTAAAAAAGATGTAACAATTTGTGTTAGCCATTGCCTGGTTTGTGCTAAAAACAATCCACCAGGGAAAACAGACTGTGGATTTACCCGGGCACAGCACCGCAGGAAAGATTGCAGATTAACTACACAGGGGAGTTGCCCCCGCACAAGAAGAGGCAACCAACATTTACGGGTAATCGCTGATGCCTTTACTAAATGGACAGAAGCCCTGCCTTACTGGAAAAGCCTCGGCTCGTGTTACAGCCAAACTCTTAGTGGAGCCTGTCTTTTCTGGAGGATGCCCCACACCATAGACAGTAACCGGGGAACAACCTTCACGGGGAAGGTGATGAAAGATGATTGCGTCATGCTGCGACTAGAGTAAAAATTTCACATACCTTAGAGTCATAGAATCATAGAATCTCAGGGTTGGAAGGGAGCTCAGGAGGTATCTAGTCCAACCCCCTGCTCAAAGCAGGACCAATCCCCAACAAAATCATCCCAGCCTTATCTCCCCCAGGCTTCTGGCTCGGTGGAAAGACCAAACAGAACCATCAGAACGATGCGAGAGACGGTGGTATGTGAACCAGGCAAAGACTGGGATGGAAAATTGCCTGTGATCCTTATGGTTTTAAGGGGAACCCAAAAGCAACCAACCAGGATCTCTCCTTTGACTGCCATGACAAGCCGAGAAATGAGACTCCCAGAACATTTGTTCACTAGTCCCATGCCACGCCTAATGAAGGAAGGGTTGGTCACAGAACAATGGGTCAGACCGCTGGAAAAAATGGTACAAGTCATGTGCGTGTGTAGTGCAGAGTAGCAGGGATGGGATCATGCCAAAAACGAGGGCATGCTTTAACAACAAGCCCAAAATCCAGAGGACAGAGCGCTGGTACTATTGACCCCGGAAAAAAACCCGTTTCCAGCACCCAGGTGGTGAGGCCCCTGCTATATAATGCAAAGAAGGCAGCTCTGCAGTTCTCTGGTACGAATAGAAGCAGGACCTAAAAGCAAGGATCGATGGCTACGTGCTACTCCAGTTAAACCTGGTTAATTGTTCCCACTAAGGCCATGTCTACACTTCGAGCTTACAGCGGCACCGATACAGCTGTGTTGCTGCAAGCGCATTCGTTCGCCGCATCGTGCTCTCCCGTCGCCATCATAAAACCAGCTCAAGGAGCGGTGCTAGCGACATCAGCAGGAGAGCGTCTCCCGCTGACAGCGCTGGGCACATGAGCACATAAGCTGGCAAAAATTATGTTGCTCCGGGGGTTGTTTTTTCACACCCCTGAGTGACAACAATTTTGCTGACGTAAGCGCTAGTGTAGGCATGGCCTAGGGCAGCACCGGAAATCGTGGTTTGTTTTTCAGGCTGTTGGTAGCGTCCAGAGAGGCCGGTGTGATTGTGGGTGGAGAAGGCGCGTCAATAAAACGCAGAAATAACAATCCGAATTTGGGGATCTGAGGAAGCCGCTGTCATTGAAGTGACAGCCGGAGCCCAGCTCAGTCAGGGTGTGAAATAAACAATGCCACTGGATATCGCACACCATTCCGCAAGTGGCCTGAAGACAAGCGAAAAAAAGGTGATTGCATAAGAATTGACAATTGTAGCATCAGTCCCCATTTAGGGAATGGTACCTTCAGTTTTCCATATGTGCATGCTAGGCATGAGAGGCATTACACGTGTTTTGTGTTTCCTGTAATATTTAATCAAACAAGGGTTTAGCAATGTGTACTCTACAGGGCGTCAGGGAAGGTAGCCATAAGGGTGGCACAAATACCGTACATTGGAAAAAAACCCACAATGCCCCACAGTGGAGGCAGGACCCAGTAATGGACGGGTATTAAGGCCCCTTAAAGAGCTGTTCAATTATGTTCAATTTATACATGTACCTGTGCTGTTCAGCTTGACTTCACTGCATTTGCCAAAGGGTTTATGTCCACCAGGGTTTGGCCAATTGTCACGCACAATGATAAAGGACTCCTGGAGAGACTTTGTCGATAGAAATGCAGATATAAGTGGAGTCTGAAAGAATGGATGAATTCTCCCCTGACAGCTAGCTAGAAGGGGGGAGAGACTTCAGGCGCAAACTGCATTTATATGAACACACCTTCTCTGCTTAGATATCCAGCAGATAGAGCGGTGTTGCTCAAGTAATCAACTTGGGCTGGTGTTGGGTTACAAATCACTTTAGTACTGAGTGTAGGGATAGTGAAATGCTGTTATCAATGGGGTGGCATTGTTGTATGAATGAAAGGGAGCAGAACTGTGCTTAACCTGTCCCAAATGAGGGGACCACCCTCAGCTGAAAGGACCTTGTTAAACCAGGGGCTTGAATGCCAGAGCCCGTGAAAGTAAAAGGGGTGGGGACAGGTGTTCTAGCCAGGAGGTGTGAACTCGCCCTAGGGGGTCCCCCCCCCACGCTGGTTTACCCCATTCCTCCCCACTGCTCAAAGAAAGAGCTAAATAGGCTCCATTGTGCGCCTCTTTGTTATTTTAAATGCTCCATCAGAGCTGAAATCAGTTGTGGTGGGACCGTGTCTCTGCCCAGCCTGCGAAGAGCTGAAAATCACTGAGACGGATGTGCAGAGGTCACAGCAGAGTGGCAGGTGGCAGCAGAAGGTGACTGACAGTTGGCTGGCGAACGAGTGGTTGGTGAAGCGGTGAGCAGAACAAACCGCTGGCGAGGCAGTGAGGAACCGTGGCTGGCGGAACGGCCAGCAGAGAGGAACCATGGCTGGTGGGCCAGCCAGCCGGCAAGGAGCAGCTGCTGGCGAGGTGGCCAGCTGAAGCAAGTGCTCAGATGCAGAGCAAGCAAGGTGCCTTCTTCCCCAGGTGCGAGGTGAACTCACACAGATGCACCTCTGAACCCTGGGTCCTCTCTGACCAAGGACAACCCCCGTGAGTGGGGTATGGAGAGGAAGCGGAGAGAGGCACAGAAAAGGAACTTTTGGTTGTAGAACTCAAGAACATGAGACAGACGACTCTGCCCCTGGCACTCTGGGGTGGGCGTCCTGCTCACAGTGTTATGTTTATGAATCCTGTTTGTGGCATTTTCCCTAATTAATGCCAGGTGACTTCCCTCCATTCATTAAAATTTTCTTTTCTACACTCAGACTCTGTGCTTGCGAGCGGGGAAGTATGGCCTCGCAGAGGCGCCGAGGGGTGGTGTGTAATTTTCCCAGGTTACTGGGTGGGGGCTCGAGCCAGTTCTGTGTTGTATCGATGGAAAGGAACCCCTAGATATTGAACCTGGCCCTGGTTGCTGCCGGCTCCACCTGGCAGAAGGGTTACACATAGGCAAAGGCACCTGAATCAATTCAAAGGTGAAGCCAGTGGCACCGATCCACTAGTGATATAACAGGATGGTTTGGAGCCGGAGCATTAATCTGGAACCAGGAGGGCATTGAGACCCTGGGGGAGCACGATCAAACTTTCAAACACAAGCTGGCTGGGACATACTTAGCCCAAAGAATGAGCAAAGCAAAGAACTCCTGAACCAAGAACTTCTGCATGTATCTAATGTGCATAATGTTGTTAATCATCGAAGCAGGGCAGTCACCAGGGCCATGACACGTTCTGTGGATAGGGGTATGCCCTAGACAAAATCAAAGCCACTCTCCCTGATATAGAACACAGTAAATCACCCGCTTTCATCACCCCAGAGAAATGGACAACTTGGTGTGGCAAAGATCATATTGACTGGTCTAAAATAACAACAACAGCAAAACCTCGCATGGGTCCAGTGCAATGGGGTTAATTGTGGGAAGAATACAGGACTCCTTATCCCATTCACGCTAGCCACCCCAGCAATCGCAGAACACCAGATCATTCAAACCCTTGTTAGAATAGCACCTGTAGGAGACCAGGAAGACACTGCAACCCATAAGGCTTGAAAAGAATTAGTTTCTCCTCCATACTATTGCCAGATAAGGTCTGGAAAGCCCCGCACGTAAGAACAGAAGAACAGCCATACTGGGTCAGACCAAAGGTCCATCTTGCCCAATATCCTGTCTTCCGACAGTGGCCAATGCCAGGTGCCCCAGAGGGAATGAACAGAACAGAGAATCATCCAGTGATCCATCCCCTGTCGCCCAATCCCAGCGTCTGGCAAACAGAGGTTAAGAACACCATCCTTGTCCACCGTGGCTAATAGCCATTGATGGCCCTATCCTCCAGGAACTTATCTAGTTCTTTTTTGAACCCGGTTATATAGTCTTGGCTCGGATGGTGTCCCTAGCCTCTGTTTGCCAGAAGCTGGAAATGGGCAAGAGGGGATAGTCACTTGATGATTCCCTGTTCTGTTCATTCCCTCTGGGGCACCTGGCACTGGGCACTGTTGGCAGACAGGATACTTGGCTGGATGGACCTTTGGTCTGATCCAGTCTGGCCGTTCTTATGTTCTTATTCCTCCCTTGAACTTGGCTCGTAAAAGCTTAATAGGCAGGAACAGGGAATTTAGTAGTTACCTAGCCCTTCCTGGTGGGAACAAGTTTACAAAGTGGGTCTACATCCACGGTGAAGATTTCAATCAAAGCTTCAGGAGTTACCAATGTGATTGTGGTAAATGTTCTTCTGATTTTGCATTGTCGAGTTTATTGGTTGTACAAAATGTTGCAAAATCAAAACCAGAAATATGTTTGAAATGTTTAATGTAATAAAGTCCATACGGTATATAGGGTTTTAAGGAGGGAAATGTAGAGATAATTATTTAAGGTTAGCTTAAGTTTGGTTAAGAAAATAATATCTGTTTGTGGCTAGTACGGAAAAGGCCCCAATCAACACGTAGAAGAAGATCATGAGAATAATAAGTAATATTGCTTATAGTGTGGGGAAATGATAGGGTCAAAAAGGAACTGCTCAAGTGAAAAGCTGCAGTAATAAGACAAAGGAAAAAAACTATCTTAAAAGAAACAAGCGTAAATCTTCCCACGGTTCTGCTGGTAAGCCAGGTGGATGGGGGGAGGAGATAAGAAAGGAGGCCTTGGCAGAAGGGAAGGAGCAAGGCTGAACTGCTTCAAACTGGCGTTTTGCTAAAGCTAGCAAGTTAGCTGAGGTGTATAAAGAGAGCTGTGAATGTGAAGGTGCTTTGTCAGGCCTGACCTGATCACACCGGGGCATAGCAGGTCATCCCCAAGTCCGGCCGGTTTGTAAGTATACTGAACATATGCTTGTGAACATTTTGTTTCCGTACTGGGTGTGGTGACTGCTGGGTTTTAGACTGTTGGACGTGTGTGGAGCAATTGTATAAATACCATTTGGCCTTTGGGTTTAATCAAAGACTTTCTGCACATGTGTGACCTGCCTGTAGCACACGACAGTTTAGTTTCCTGGGGACTGAAACGCATTAGTTTAGCTGGCGTCACAGGGCTCAGCGGAGTGGGATTTGGGTGGAATGTCGCGGCCTGTGCTAGACAGACAGTCAGAAGAGATGATCTGTTGGTCTTAGACTTTATGAAACACCCTGGATCCTCCGCCTCCTGACCAGGCCCAGCCTTGGAAGCGGCAGTCAGAGCTTCCCTGACACGTTGCCCCGCGCCAGCATGCCTCACCTGGATGCGCCCCCCCTCCTTAAGGCAGTTCAGTCTCCAGAGCCCATTCACTTCTTGCTCATGGCAGCTTTGATCCGTGGGGACCCCACAGGCTGAGCGAGCCCAGGTTAAAAAAACTTGCAATCTTTAGCCTTCCTTAAATACCCCTACTTTTGTTTTATGCTAAGTGCTCACAAGTGTGGCGTGGTTTATGGGAACAGTGGGTTACGGTAAAACTGGTAAACTGAGGCACACTGCTCCTTTTAGGGCAGAGGATCTGGGATTTCTGTGAGGAGCCAGTGTCAGGGGCTGGAGATCACAGGAGAACAATTCAAAGGGGCTCAGGGCCTGGGGTGCACCTACCTTTAGCCTGCATGGCGAGAACAGGGCTGGCATAACCCAGAGGAGAATGCATGCAGATGGGGTCAAGGAGCTGACGTCCAGGCAAGACGCTCTCATGTGGGTGGCAGGAGGGTAACAAGGAGACTCAAAATCCTGGGTGCCCCGAGAACCATCACATGGGTTCCCTGCTAGAAGGCTGTTCCCTAGATAAAGATGCCTGTTTAGGAAGTGAAAGGCACCCTAGAAATCCTGCTACTGGAGCTGCTTGGGCAATGGGAATTTTCTAGTAGGAATTAAAAAAAATAATCCTGCAAACTCTTTTGGTTAAATAAACAAATACATGGGTTCTCCAAAACTGGGGTTTGGATAAAAAAAAAAGTTTGGATGAGAAAATCAAAAAAACCTGAACATTTTTATCCAAAACTAAACATTTTTACTCAAATATTTATTTTTTTATTGTAAAAAATGGAAGAACGTTGACAAAAGTGAAAATTTTCTGCAAAAATGTTACCTTGGCCAAAACCCATTTTCCACCGAGAAGCAAAGTGCCTTAGCTCCGGGTGTGGGCCCAGCGGTTCCCCAGCACCTGGGAGGGGCTTGAGCCAGTGCCGAGCATGGGAGCTCCCTTGGAACGCTGCCACCGGAGCTGTCATGCTGAGCTGGCTGGCGCTGCCGTGATTGGGGGAGATTGAATTAATTTCACTACAGTCGGCTGACTGGGAGCTATTCAGCAGAACAAAAAGCAGACAGGAATTGGGAATATTTCCTTCTAGCCCTGCAGACCCTGGCTGCCAGCCAAACCCGAATGCTAGGGAGGAGTTGCTGGAGATACCGTAGACCTGGTGTTCAAAGGGTTGTTAATATCCAGGTGGGGAGCAGGCCATTTCCCATGTCCATGTCCTCTTTGCTTCAGGCGTTATCAGCCCTATCCCTGACACCAAGGCTAGGAGTTCGGCCATGGGCAGCACGTGCACCCCCCGTTTGGGGAGGCTAGCCCCCTGCCCCACCTCTTCCGCCCAAGGTCTCGCCCCCACCCCTTCTGCCTGAGGCCCCCCCCTGACCCCACCCCTTCCACCCAGCCATCCCACCAGCCCACGGTGCCCAGAGCAGCCCAGAGCTGGCCCGGGCCAAGTCCTGAGCCCGGCAGCCCAGAGTGGAGCTCTAAGCCCCGCCTCCCCCAGCCTCCATTACCCGCTGCCCATGAGTCCAGCCAGCGAATGGGTTGTGAGGGCAGATCGGGACTTACTCTCTTACAGGTAGCAATGCCTCTAGTTAAGGTTCCCGGCTACTTCTGATGTTACGATCCGCTTTACAGCTGCTTATCACTTTGCCAAATTTAAACATCCGGTGGGCCTTGGCTTTCTACTCAGACAGCCGAAATCATACAGCAATACAGTAAGTAATAATATCACGGATTGATCTGAGGGCAAAGCTCTTGGACAGAGCAATATCAGCAGTTGCTCCTCCGCAGTGAAACTCCACACACCAGAGATCACAAATTGCCCACGCTGGGGGTCTGCCTGGGGCTGATATGTTCTGGGGAAATTTCAGCTAAAACGGCTCAGCCATTTTGAGAACGAGGTCAGGGGAAAACACCGTGTTTGGCCCGTGTTTTTTTTAAAAAACCCACCTTCTCTCAACCATTTTACTGAGAAGTTTTAGTGACTCCATGCTCTGGAGAGGGGGGCCTGAAATTTGCAGGGGTGTCACTTTGGCATCAGGAAGGTGCCTTTTGCCATTCCCATGAAAACTCACCCAACTGGGGCCAAGTTAGGAGTCTCTGAAAACTGTCAGTTCGCACAAGCTCAGTAGAGACTTGCTAGACTCTAGCAGTTCGATTCACTAGAGATGCCCTCTGTCCTGTGAGCGTGGCCCACACCCTGGCTCTCACACGGGTCCACACTCAGCATGTGCCGTCTCAGGGCTGCAGAGCCCGGCAATTGCACCTCCCGGCTGCCAGGGGCCAAGAACTGAGAGCTGGGAGCCTCACGTCTCATGTGCTTCTCTGCTAGGGGCTAGGCGGGGGGAACAGTCTGACTGAAATGCGGAGGGCTGAGGGCCCTGGCCGGGGGCGGATTCTGGAGGGCAGAATGGAACATGGGAATGGGGGG